CGCGACGTTTTTTGAAAGAAAACGAATAAACGCTAATGTTTATTTGACGTTAATTGGAATAGGGATGATGACTGGGTAAAATAAATGCAATTCTATTTAGTCCGTCAGTCAGATAATAGAAAAATATTAGATACGCATTTTATTTTACTTCAATTTAACAAGAAATAGCTTAGATGACAGGCATTAAAGTTGAGGAGTGGGGGCTCGCTACGTCACAGTTGAGTAGAAAACGTACTCTAACGTGACGTCATGCGAAATTTCAACTCAATGTAACGCCGTAATTTTATGATTACGAAAAAAAAAACGTGTTTAATATTTTTTAACACTCTACCTGACGGACAAACAAACAGAAATTAGTCATCATCCCTATTGTCTAAGCAAAGTGATAGTTACAAACATTTTTGAAAGCTATCGGGAAAAGTCAAACGAAATGAATTGTCTATGACATTTATATCATTCAAATCACAGAACACAGAAACCTCTTTTCCGTGTTCTGAGTGCTTAGTGTAAGTTTTTTTGACGTTTACGTTCACTGTCGATCGTGAGCGCGTTAAGATTTTAGTATGGAATCCGGCACAGCGCCCCTAGCGGTAACTATCAAGAACTACAAATCTCCATACAAATTCTTAACGTGCTCACTAGTGAACGCGTTAGCGTAAAACTTACACTTACCACTCTGTGATTCAAATCATCATACGTTATAAAAGTGATCGTGACTTTAAAAGTTACACAATTCCATTAATTACTAACACAACCGATATACATTTGAAAAGGACTGAGATAGATTTACAAACAAGACAATTAAGCCACTGGACTAGATTACTTCTGTCATTTATTTATTTATATATTGCGGCTTTAGCACAGGCAGAAAGTGGCAAATAAATCTTGTGAATGTGAAAAAGATTAATGAACTTTGTAAAATCGTACAGCCGACATAGAATTAATGAAAATTATACGGCCTACAGCTGTACCTCGGCGACAGATATTTGGAACAGTGAAAAATACTCGTGGCATGATGATTTGGTGTAACCTAAGAAGTTTATAGCGTCGGTGTACTAAACTATTGTTCAAACTTTTTGTTAAATAATTTTTTTTTTTTTAATTAGTGTATATGAACTATTTCAAAAAGGCTTATGGATGTATATAGCAATTCTAAAGTATAAATAGCAATAACTGAAAAATAAAATTCATAATTCTATTTCAATTGCTTGTATTTAATTCAAGAAATTATTGAAATAGAATGTTTCTATCTTCAAAACCACTAAACTGATTTCGATAAAACTTATGCTGTTGCCTAAGTTGAAAGCTAATTAATTAAGCCAAAAATAGGCATAATCTATCTAATGTCTTTTTTTGCGAGAAGTGCGAGGAGAAAGCAGATATTACACTTACAAATTTTGCACACGTGTTTATAATACCATACCAAGATCATATTTTGTCATGCAAACGAAATTAATATATAATACATACATACAGGTTGTTTACAAATTAAAAATCCCCTTTTCCTACTTCAAGTAGGTAGATTGTTTAAAATTTAAACAATAACATCCATAAAGTTCTATTCTAAGAGTCATTCATAATCATTTATATTAAGTCATCTGATTTGATTAATTATTTTACCAATTGAAAGGTTATTTTACGAATGGATATAGGACTAATAATATATATTAACTTTTGCCTTTCAATAATAAAAAAATAAATTTTGGTCACCCATCCTATGACCAGCCATCGCGGAAAGTTGCTTAACTATCGAATCGCAGTTCCAGCGCGGTAACCACTGCGCTATTGATTGTCGATATAATTATTATTAAGCTATTTAGCTAATCATCAAGTTAAAATATTGTTTATAGGTAGGTAACACACTCAGGAAATATTAAACTGTGTTTTATAATATTTGAATGCCCAAGGAAACATGTTTAGAACTAGCGAACTAGGCGAGAATTTTATTATTTTCCCGCTTTTTAACAAACAAACACAGACTATAATGGAGCAGGCAGTGTGACCAAAACAGGAAAAGTTTTTCTTTTAAAAATAACGATCTCTTTGTTTGTGCAGAACAGCCCCCTAATTGTCTAATTTTAAATCTATTGCAATCGCTTTCAGTTTGAAAGGTGTTGCACAACCATTGCTTGTTTCTGAAGACAGTTGAAAAAAAAGTATTTGTATTATGCAGCAATGGTTGTGCAACACCTTTCAAACTGAAAGCGATTGCAATAGATTTAAAATTAGACAATTAGGGGGCAGGTTTACTTCGGCCAACGCAGAATGTACAGTCCATTCAGTTTTTACTGGTATAGTCAATTAGAACATGGGCACTTATCATTACTCTTGCAAGTAAACGTTAATCAACCCACAATCTTTAACACATCAGAATCGAACTCAAGACCTCAATGACAAAGGTATCACCAATACCTTGAAAACAGAGTACTGTAGTATGTATGTGTGTATCTTTATTGATTAATTATTCTAAATCCTTTCCTCTTCCTTAAGTCCCTCCACGCTGAGGATCGTCGGAGGCTTTGCAGCAGACTCTTCTAATTACTGCGGTCTTCTGTTTGATGGAGAGCTTGGAGTATACTGTGGAGATTCCACAAACTCGCACCAAGCGATTAGCCTCTACATTCATCGTTCGAACTGCGAAGCTGTGGAATTTGCTACCGGACTCGCTGTTTCCGGGCAAATACAATCTGGGACTCTTCAAGTCAAGAGTGAATCGGTTCCTTCTAGGCAAGCACGCTCCGTCTTAGACCACTGCATTGCTTATCATCAGGTGATCTGTGGTCAAGTGCTTGCCTATCTTGAATAAAAAAAAAGTATCGGCATTTGTAATTCTTCAGACACCTGCGGGGCTATTCGTTATCTCAACTGACAATCTAAAGCAGTAATCACCGCAAAAAGTGGACAACTGCAATATGCCAAAATCACCGTATATTCTATCCATGGTTCGCCATTTTGAAATGTCAATATCGGCAATCTCCACTAAACTCCATTGTGACACTTTATCTTGTATTGATAAACTGTTATTTCGTATTCCGTAAACATTAGTGGCCATGACGGTGAACTTAATTGAGTGATTTTATCTAACTGACAACTGGCTAGGGGTTAGCGATTTATTATAATGAGTTACAGAATACCAAAATCGCGTTGACATTTTGGTTGTCTTCTAAAGTTGCCAGAGATACAGAAAAAGAGGGCAGATCAGACCATCGTCGTGGTTTGCGTCCACTTTGTCGTTTGACATCTATTATGCCGGTTATTATAAGCTTTTTCAAGTTGTCTGTACCTCGGCAAACTACATGACCAAAGTATTGTACTATTCTGTGGAGGCATGCTGTAGAGTTAGCTCGGTGTCGTAGTGGATAAGCGCCACGGCCCGCGATCGTAGTCGTTAAGCAACTTTTGCAAGGGTCGGCCACGGGATGGGTAACCAAAAAATTATTATCTCGAGCTACTCCGTGCTTCGGAAGGCACGTTCAGCCGTTGGTCCCGGCTGCATTTGCAGTCGTTAATACCCTCCAATCCGTATTGGGCCAGCGTGGAGGGTCATGGCCCATCCTCCTAAACCATCCATAAGGAAGGCCTGAGCCCCTGCAGTGGGGACGTAAAAGGGCTGGTGATGATGCTGTAGAGAGGCGTTACTGTGAATCTAAGCTTGAACTCCTTTAGATATACATTCTTCACCAGCTCCACATCTCGAAGGGACGACTCTTTGTCCTTTAGTTATCCCGTCCCACTCTACTGATTTTGTGGCCAAGTAATTTTATTCAATTATGGAACCCATTGCCTGTTGATATTAGTGGCGCGCAGTGTCGGGACTCTATTATAAAACAAGTAAATGGCTATTTGGTCAAGATGCGCATTATCTCTTCTTCAATCTGTTCCTTTTCTAGTAGTTAATTTATTTATTTAATACACTAATTCTGAGTATTTTTACTTAGTTGGTATGGTTTCCATCACACAAAGTTTGCCTGATAAATAAATAGGTACCTTAGCAATAAGGCCGCCTTTTGAATACATATTTCTATAGGGATACCAGATTGACTGTTAATTAAAATTAATTTAGTTAATAAATACATCAAAACAGATTTTGTTCATAGGTATGCTTTCTTTTGTTAATGGGAAATTAAATTGTTAAGTATAAGATTTTTCTTTTGCACAATATGAGAAAGTTTCTGAGGGATAATTTTGCCTTAAATTTTGAACAAACTGCGGGAAAACCTGTTTAGTTTGGTTTTTAAAATTCAATATTTATGCGGTATCCTAAGTGTACAATTTATGTTTAATAAAATACCAACTTACTGTACTCACAAATTAATTCAATTTCAATACATCAAAACAAATGGATTCAGCGTAAAGCCCTATCGATTTTACTGGCGGGCAATGCAAATAAAACTCCAAAAGCTATATGATTTGACAAAACTTTTATATTAAATCACTTTCGGACGCGTCTGGAGATGTCGAAATAAATTTTTGTGTTGAATTATAATAAGACATTCCATTTGAACGTGTTTCGGTACGATTTTGAATTTTCATTCACCCCTCTGTATACTTTTTCTTCTACTCTTTGGATAAGTTTCATACCAGGAAAACAAAATGGTGGATACACTTTTTAAATATGATATAATGTTGGTTATTTATTTTTATATAATACGGGTGTAACGAAAATAAATATTTTTTAAACAACATCACATACATTGCTCAGACTCCAAGACGATTAGCTAAAGCCCCCGTATTATGGAGTATCTGAGGCAACGAAGGTACCAGAAAACCCAGACCCGAGATAATATAGAAAAAATCATTATCTACATCGACCCGATCGGAAATCAAACCCGGGACCTCAGAAGTCGCGATACCTTGAAACCGGCGTGCGAACCACTCGGCTACGAAGGTCGTCGCTCATTTGTGATTCTTTATTACGTCGTTTTGAAATCGAAACCTTTTTGAAGAAACTAATAATTGGTGATGAAAAGTGGATCACGTACGAACGTGTGAATAAGGTCATGGTCAAAGGTCGGTCAGGCTTCACATCCTGGTTAATTTACGACAAAGTGATGCTATGTGAGTATTGTAACTAAAAATAATAAATTCGTTTAAGCAAAGGGATCTTAGTCCATACGGCCTAGTTTTTCATACCAGTCTTCAGTTTTTCACTGAAATGTTGAAGCGCTAATGCTTCGTTGAAGTTTTTGGTCAGCCGAAAGATGGAATGTCCATAGGAAAGAGGAAACCCATACGCATTCATGCGCTAACTACACGCAAACCATGTTAGGCAAACCAACTTTATTATTTATTAATCAAAACTCACTATACACAATAATTTTGCAATTAGATAAACGGACACCATATTTCTCCATCGTTTCCCGCCAAAATCTTCATAATTAATAAAAACAATTAAACTTTCTTATTGCTATTGCTTTGACTTTGAGTTAGACAGCCGGGCCTCTGCATGTGTAGATATGTGTACTTTTTGAACATCCACAGGAAAAAAAACGAATAATCTGCGAATTTTTCAGTAAAAGACCTCTGCTTAGCACGTCCTTTTACTGTTTTTCAACGAAATTAATGGTTTTTTCATTTTGTTTTTATTTAAAAATGTGAAGTTGACGTACTATCTCGTATCACAACCTCATGTTTCAAAAGCTTTTTTATGATGCATTTTTCATTTCTATTTATCTGTGCAAATGTTTTTTTTACTTACATATTTTTTCCAACACGTTTTCGTTGGAAGCGACTTTATTTTGTATTCATTAAAGTTCATAATACAGATTATATTTAATTTACTCATACATTACATTATTATTTTCCCAGTTTTAGGAAACTGTGAGAGGATAAAATTTAAATATTTTGCTGTAATAAGCGGTAGTCTCTCGCTAGCCTTCCGATTATCTTAACACAAAAAATCATATAATTATAACACTTTGTAGCAAATTGCAAGAAAAAAAAACAAGCACACTTTTTTATAGTACTGTGAACGTATGACATCGACAAATTGCAGTGGCAGTCTAACCTCATCGCAGGCCCGGGGCGGCAATAGGTCCGGATTAACAACTTTTCCAATTGAATTTGGCGGTAGGCTGCAGCCCATTTGGAGGCCCCCAAGGACCGTAAGCCCGGGGCGGAACGGCTCTTCCCCCCTCGCGATTCGCCATTGATGCATTGCGTGACATGCGGCCAGTGCGTGAGCTCTAAGCCAGTGTCTAAGGCCTTTATTGTTACAGAACAACAAAACTGAAGTTAAATCTAAAGTCGTGTAAATACGGGGTCAGTAATCGGCGTCTGTGCTGCCTATAACTGACCGCACTCCGTCATGAGTCGTGGGATCTTTACAGTTCAATTTAAACTTACAACTCAGCATTAACTTGCCTCCATTTTGGAGTCAGTAAATAAAGCAATGTAAACGCGGCTTTAGTGATTTGGCATAATGCATCTCATTCAATGGCGTTTAATTTTAGGTCGTGTGGCGCCAACACTGTCTGGTGATGTTGCTGCAACATGTTGCGAGTGTGGCGCTGGGTTATGGTGATGTTGAACGCTGTTGCCGCTTTGTCGCCAGTGGTTAAAATCGGTGAGTATGTCAGAGGATGTAAACCTTTTTAGGTGGAGGAATTTATATATCACAGTTTTTACAGAGCCTCTAAACAATTTATTTTCAATATTATTTATTGAATATATATTATAACCAGTGGTCGGAATTAGGTAGAGTTATTCATGTACTTACACTGATTTCATACAGCGAAAGAATAAAGTGGATATGCCTCAAATCCCGAGATTAATTTAAAAGAGCAGAAAAATCTCGTGATTTTTTAAATAAAAAGTTATTTACATTTACACAATTTAAACTACTGCACGCACAAAGTTGCCAAACTTACATCAATGAAAGAAAGAAATAAAGAAAGAAGAAATAAACAAAACCCGGGAAGGTCCACATTAATATCAACATTTCGATGCAAGTACATAAATAACTCTACCTAATTCCGACCTCTGATTATAACTGAGATATTACACTCGTATCTATAGTAGAGTAGAAATTATGACTTTGAGTTTAAGTAATCCAAAAGACGAGAATTAAAATGAAGTAAGGAGTGTTAATAGTTATAAAGCTACTTTAATTAGCTATTAACAGTTCTTTCTTCATTCAAATTCTCATTTATTGGTTAAAGTATTTGCAACAAATTTCACATATTGTTGTAGCTTGACGTGCAGCCGTGCCTTAACCACCCAGACGCGAGAGAATATAAAAGTTACTTTTCACATTATCTTAATGTTTTCCCAAAGGTGGATTTAGTGTGCAAATAAATGTCACCGCAATTTTTTTACTCAACCCTTTTGGGATAAGTGGGATAAATTATGCGTTCGCTTTTGCAGGTGCTATTTTCACTGAGGACGCGCGGGGGGGCAGCGCCGAGTTGGCCTTCAAATACGCAGTATACAGAATTAATAAGGAGATAAACCTACTACCTAATACTACACTTGTATACGATATACAATATACATCTGCTCAAGACTCCTTCAGGACTTATAAAAAAGGTAACTATTAAATTCTTAATGGTCTGGAAACGTGTAAAGGTGTCGTCACACTGCGAACGGAGCTGCGATAATATATTCTTCTTTTCAACTAAACGCCGTCTTCAAGCGAGATTAAAAACGTTGGGCGATTCAAAATGCTTACAACAATCTACGGTATATTCATATACTATGTGAATAGAAAAGATTTTCACACAAAGATATATTTTTAATAGGCATGAAGCAATAAATTAACAAAGTAAAAAACACATTTAAGCATGTTACTGACAAAGTTATATATTGTAGAAATAATGTTGAGAAATCGGTCAGCAATAAGCCATTAAAGGATTCTAAATTCACAACGACCATTTCTTTTTTACATAATTTTCTTTAGTGGCGTAAGGTCAATTTTTAATGGTTTTTTTACTATATGATTCATTGCCATTTCGAGCATTTAAATATTGGAAATGTATAGTTTCCGCTAATCGAATTGACCTCGTTAATTCGCTTCGAACTCGCTTTCATATCTCTTATGTGATATGCAAAGACTTTATATCGGATTCTTAAGCTGTGAAAGTGACTTATTCTTTATTCAAGTAAGCTTATTGAAAACACTTTGAATTCACAACATTTTTATCTAACATCCATTCGCCATGTACTTTACTGACAAGAAAAACACTTACGTAATTTCAGTTCAAATCATTAAGTTCATGTTTAAATAGATTATTTGATACTAGCTTTTTGCCCGCGTGCTAGTGTATTATATATATCAAGCTTATTTTTAAATCACTCTGTATATTTAAGAAAACCTCATTAGATTCCGTGGTGAATTTTAAAAGATCTGAACGTACAAGACAGTGGGGAAATGACTTTATTTAATACTATGTATAGATTTTTAAGTATCGTATTTTTTGCTCCGATGTTACTAGATTGAAAATTTCCATCATTGCCAGTTATTAATGTCACCACTGCCAGGGACAGGGCTCTCTATGGATGGAATCGAATCGAAAGATGGAGATTGGTTCATCACTCAACACGTGGGTCTAGAGCGAATTTGTAAGTGTTAACGAATACAGGTGCGGCCGGGACTAACGGCTTAACGTGCTTTCCGAAGCACGGAGGAGGTCGAGATAAAAAATGTTTGGTCACACATCCTATGACCGACCCTTGCAAAAGTTGCTTGACGCGGTAACCGCTGCACCATTAAGTGTTAATTCATTAATTTTCTAAAAATATAACCGTATCTATAAGCTACTTGCGCTTAAACCCGTTCATAACTCGTTTTATTAAACACAACAGCCGGCTTTATCGTAAAATCCTGCCACTTCAAAATAAACCAAAGCACAATGACTGCTAAGTCTCTAATTCACTGTTAAATATTCATCTACAACGATTATTATACAGCTCAACTTTGTAACAATATACAATTAAAATCCACAAAAACGGTGTGTCATTACAAGTTTCTAGGGTCTCGCAATAACCGAGCCTGCCCAAGGGCCCTCAAAATATGCCACTTCCGGCCGCCATATTGCACTGAGGTTAGGGTTGCCAAATATTGGACTAGTCTCAGGGAAGTCCTAACAAATCCATTCAGTTACCAAGTACAATATCAAGGACTTTACTGTATTAATATTATTTTTTTATAAAGATTTTCATTCAAATAAAAGGCATTTGATATTATATTAAAATATTTGAAATATAAACCTATTAACAAACAATTTAGAAAATGTTTAAACCACAGGTTCAGGTGTAATTATCACTGTAAAATAAATTAAGGTTATAATAAGTATGACTATTACTATAAGTTCCATATCATCCAATTGCTAGTTAAGGAATTAATTATATTATTGAAAAACTGTCTACTTCAAAACCACTGACAGAACTGTGTTGTTACCGATATGTGGTCACCCTAGTCGATGTGGCCATATTGCGTATCCGCCTCAAGTGACTTCCTGTCCGCTCGACTTTATTTTTTATTGCACTTCACTGGCGTAATATTTTTTTAATTTTTATCGTATGCAATCATTTTCCATAAGATCATTTGTAATTACCGTTCAATACTTTTACTATTAAAAATATATGTGTGTAAATTCAAACTATCAAATTCAACAGCATAATTGAGGGAATTAGATTAGATTATTTATATGTTGAGGAAATCATTGTCGCAGTGGTTATTACACTCGGTCTGCGATACGGTTGTTAAGAAAGTTTCACAGTGGCCGGTCATAGGATGGGTGGCCAACAATGTATTTTTTCCAACTCCTACGTGCTTCGAAAGTTAAGCCGTTGGTCCTAGCTGCATCTGCAGTCGGTATTACCCTCCAATCCGCATTGGGCCAGCGTGACGGGTTATTGCCCACCCTCCTTAATCATCCATAAAAGGGCTGGTAAAAGTGCTGGTGATGATGATGATGATGATGTTTCTATCTTATCTTTCAGCTTGTGCGCAGATAAAGTCAGGTGCTGTGGCGTTATTCAGTAGTGCTGGTCCGTTACTCGGCGCCACGTTGGGCGCCATGTGTCGTACCTTACATACGCCACATTTTATAGTGGCGCCACACTATTACGACATTGGTGAGTAACTTTCACTTTGTATTAGTGTTAATCCAACACTAATACAAAGTGATTAGAAGTAAATATGATACTAGATGCACCTTTTCTTAGCATTGTGTAATACTCAATCCTAATACCTAAGCCTCCTGGTCTATCTAGTCAAACTAGAAGCTGCTTGTCTATTGAAAACCTTATTGATAATCAAATTAGATCTTAACCAATCAAGTGTGCTTACATTTTTATGGAATATCTCAAGCACATATTCCTCTATGTTCTAGTCGTGCATTTATCTATCTACCTATAGAATTATTTAAAACTAAAATCGATGAGACTAAAATGATTTCGAATGTTTTAGTAAAAATACATTTCACCATTGACTTGGAATCACCTAACGAAATTAAGCAGTGTCTAAAGTTATGATATTCGTTATGCGGCGCCTTGCGCTAGGCGTTTGCTATATGACAGGTCATAAACATGTCAAGGGATAAAAGGAAAAGATATTTATTTGGAATTAAACTAATCTGTTTGTGCTATGCGTTATATTAGGCGTTTCCTAGTGAAGTTACACCTTATTTTAGTTTAGGTAAAAATGAGTGTAAGCGGTTCAAGTCATTATTTTGGAAAAGGTGCCGCCTAGTATTACAAAAAATAACTGAAACGTGGATCTGTACTAGCAAATTTTTATGTGTGATATTTTAAGTATTTGCATAATATTATCATTGTTTAACAATAATGATTTTCAGTCAACGATACGGAGTCCTTCACAGTTAATTTGCATCCGCCTAAAGATATGATCGACAAAGCGTTTCTGGACCTCACTTCATACCTCAACTGGACGAGAATGGGTATCATATACGAAGACTATGGATACGGTGAGAAGATAATACAAGTATTTTATTAAATTTGAATAGATATTGAAGCTTGTCCGTTTAATTTTTTTTTATTTGTAGATTTAAGACTTTACAGATAATTGTGAATCACATTAGTCTAGGGTTCCAGAATGATAACTAAATTTAAATATGATCATGTAGTTTGTTGGTGAAAGACTATTTGCTATGCTTATAAAAACTTCTAATTTAATATTAAACTAGCGTTTTGTTACTGACCTTAACGCTTAACGTGCCTTTCGAAGCAGATTGGAGCTTGGGATAATCAATTTTTGGTCACCCATTTTATGACCGACCTTGCGAAAGTTGCTTAAGTTCCATATCGCAAACTGAATGCTCTAACGATTGCGCCATCGAGCTCCTCGTATTACACAAGTATATCAAATATCAACTCCGGTGCAGTAATGTACAACTTTATTCACTGATTTACCAGGGTAGAAGGCTTAAATTTCGTAGTGCGATTAATATCAGCCAATCAGAATAATTCAAGTATCACGTGACCGCACCATCCACCAATATCTACCTGATCCCTGATAAGTATGATAGAGAGGGACATCTAATGCGTTGTAATTTACACCTTATGGTTATTGCAACAAGACTGCTGATAAATTTTAATCGTACGTTCGGTTATCATTGGTAGATCTGTTCTATACAAAAAAAGATTTGTGCCACATCAGTTGGATTATACTGTAAATAGAAATTAATTGTATTCTACATTGTGGTAACGCTGTATGTACTGAAGTTTGTAATGTCATATTTTTGATTGTCTTCAGGCGAACTGAATGTATTAAACGTGGCCAAAGATGGCCGCGACATGTACGCGGTGAGGTGTGACGACGCGAACGACTACAGACGAGCGCTCGCGCAGCTGAAGGCGCAGAAGATACAACACATACTAGTGGACACTGATCCTAAGAAAATCACGCAGTTCGCTAGAGCGGTGAGTAAGGGTGCGCGCGCACTGATGACATTTTGTCACCATGAGTTTTTGTGTCCGGTCACCGTGCCTGTGAAGCCTTACAGTGGCGCGCGCAATTGAACATATTACTACGTTTTTATTTTATTAATAAACTATAAGTGTAATATTCTCCAAATAAGTGTAATCAAATTATTTTTCTTTTATATTTAAAAATTAAAATGATTTATATTTTTGGAACACACAACATAAACCTGTATTTTCACTTGTATTCAATATCCCTATTAGGTAATTCCAAACAAATGACAGGAGCACCAGTGCGACGTAGCCTTATACAAAACAATATACCAATTCTGCCATTTGATATATATTTAAAAAAAAATTTGGAGATTTCAGAGCGTTATATCATATTTAATATGACATCACTAACACTTAAAAAATATATTTTATAACGCTATTATTGATAATGTAAAAACGTTCAAACTTTACTCTCAACTTTACGTAAATTATAGTAATCAAATGATGGTTTAAACGAAAGGACCAAAGTTAATACTTGGTTTAAACATTAGCCGTCTAAAGTAAATCGACAACGACAGACGAGAAAACGTCCTATTGGGATGTGTTGACTTAATTTGATCGGATAATGGTTTAAACCTGGTACTAAATTTAGCACTTCCTCGTAACTCTTGCGATGGCCAAAACCAGGTTATAATCTTGAAATGGCCTTAACTGGGTCATCGGCCCTATAATAAGAAGGTTTTAGTTAGTACTTATAGATTTGAGTATTTTTATTTATCTATTTTAGTGTGTTTGTCACTTTTGGATATCATAATATTGTTCCTCACGTAAGAATTAGGAAGTGTTAAAAAAAAGAAAGCACTTTTTTAGTGCTTTCGTTTTCACCTCCACTAGATGGCGACTCTAGCATATGTTGATTTTTGCAGGAAACGAATGGACTAAAGATAGTCATTTCCGTTCCTTTTAACTTACTTACATATAAAAAAACTGAAATTTGAAAAGTTCGAAACTTAGATATCAACACAACTACTAAAAAGTACAAATAGAATTTGAGTTGTTTATTGAGTTTTGAAAATTAATTTACTTTTATACACGAAAGAAAACCGAAAGGGTTGTCTTAGAGAAATCAAGAACGTACCGTAGCGACATCTTGTTTGATTTCGGGAACTAGATTTTTTTTTAAATACTTCCTCATTATAAAATATCCTCAAATATTGATATATTCCTTGAAAGTTGTATATCATTTAAAATGTAAATATTTTGGCTTTCAGATATTACAATTACAGATGAACAACGAAGAACATCATTATATTTTTACATCATTTGTAAGTACTAGTTTTTATATAATAAAATTTTAATTTAGCGTTAAATGTATAAATGTAACAGTAAACGAAAGTAAATACATATTATTTCTGGTAGTCTTTAGTATACTATTACTGTGGGAAAAATAAAGGCGACCGTGGCTTGAAATTATGTACATTTCTTCTTTTTAATAATATTTTATACACCACCTATCTTCTGACGTTCGTCCTAAGTCTCTCGTCGTCCATTCGTCTTACCTCTTGTTCACCTCATACCCCTTCTCTTTCACACATTCATACGTTCCTTTCGACACATTTCAATCATCCTACATTACTATTACACTTTTAGGCTTATTATATTTATAATATTGCTTAAATTAATTATGAAAAAAAGCTAATATTTTATACTCGTTGTCACGTGACCGCAAACAGCGCGTGATGTCACGTCCCTATTACTCACATCAGAACTTAGAAAATTTGACCTTATGCATACATAGAACGGTATTAGTTTCAGAGGACCGTGACGTCATAGCGACGCCATGACAGAAGTTGCGTTTACGCAGAAAATTTTAAAACTAATTTATTTTTAGATTCTAACTTATTAAATGAATGATACTTTTTAAAATATAATTTTTCAGATATATTTTATGTATATTTATAAAATTAAATATATATAGAAAAGTTGTTTCTACCCATATCCCCGCAATCAATTAACGCGTCTACTTTTAATTCGATAAGGTTTAAAATCAATTACATCTTGTCACTTTTGTGTTTTATGAAAATAACAATTTAAACTATAATTTACTTTTATTTTAGGATATGGAGTTATTTGATTTAGAAGATTTCTATTACAATCGTGTGAATATAAGTGGTTGGAGACTGGTGGACAGAGCATCAGACAAGGTGAAGGAAGCCCTCCAGGTGATGGAGAAGTTCCACCCCATAGGAGCCTCCATACTTAGCGGTGGACATATTAAGGTAGAACTGATAGTATACAAATTATCTCACAGCAATTAATGGCACTTCTATGATACTATGCAATCGTCACCATCAGGACCAGTCCTTCAACGTTCCTGCTGCAGGGGCTCAGGTCTTCCTTGTAGATGTTTAAAAAGGATGGGCCATGACCCACAACACTGGCCCAATGTTGATTGGAGAGTCTTAACGACTGTAAATGCAGCCGGGATCAACGGCTTTACGTGCCGTCCGAAACACGGAGTAGCGCAAGATAATAATGTTTTGGTCACCCATCCCGTGATTGATCCTTGTAAAAGTTGAACAACAACAACGATCGCGGGCCGCGGCACTTATCCGCACATTAAGCCTGTTGTATCTTCAGTCATTAACACACATCAATCCGCACAGGTTTCGCATTGTGGGTCGTGGTCTGAGCCACAGCGGCACAAGTAATACTTGGTTATGTATGATTGTGATGATAATCTATCTACATTTTCAAGATGATGATGAAATAATGCGATTATCTTTGACTATATATTGTTTTTAGACTGAACCAGCTCTCTTGTACGACGCTGTGCAAGTCCTAGCTCTCGCTTTGTCTAGTACTGAGAACGTGCGAGCCGATAATATCTCCTGCGACAAGGAGACAGTCTGGAGTCAAGGGAGAATGCTCCTAGATAACGTTAACATTGTAAGTTTATTAAAAAAGAAAGAAATTTAGTTTAAATCTTCTTACAATGTAGGGCAAAAGACCCGGTTATGGCCACTGTCCTGTTTTTGGTCATTTGTCATTTCAAGGTGTTCAATGCATAGGCATAATATATTACTTTACAGTGAAGGGTTTTTGAATGTTGCATTATTGACAGCTGTGACGAGTCAAAGTTCACTTCCTTGTAACTCTTAAAATGGCCAAAATCAGGTAATAATCTCAAAACCATCAGGTCATCTGCCTTGTTAAAATTATCATTTTTCTCGCAATATATTAGAAAAACTATTATAGAAACTAAATTGGTATGTAGCATAAAATATTTAGAAGCAGAGACTTTGGTTTCTCAAACCATTTAGAATCACACTATACCATTTCAACTTTCAAAATATTTATCAATATACGGCAGTGATTCTTTATATAAATCATTATCAAATATTTAAATCTGTCCGGAGATATACCCACTTGTAGTTTCGTACCCTAAAAATAGAGTACACCTGGTAAGCTAATGGTCAGAAAAATTAAAGTTTACTTGATAAAGATGGTAAAATCCAGCTCGAAGGATCGTTGAAACCGTACGTATTTCAAATTTAAGTAAACGATCATCTGTGATAATTGGTCGTGTAATCATTTTCACATGAGATTAATAAAAATAGGAAATATATCGATGGCCAAAATAGATTACATTTCTATAAATTTGTGAACACTAGAAAAAGCGGAGAAATATTACCATATGAAGATCCCACGTTGGGCGCCAAGATTATTTTTTAATAACTAGGTTGGTAATCTTAAATGTATCCTATATGCTGATACGGTTCGTTATTAATTATATTCGAGGCCAGTTTAAGCAACGAAATTCTCTACTTTTCAGGTAAAAGCTCACGGTTTAACGGGTCCTATAGAGTTTAAAAATGGTACGCGAAGTAAATTCAACCTTCAGCTCATGAGACTGTCTGGTGGTGAGAGTGGCGGTACAGTTCTAGCTGGACATTGGTCTCCAGGCGAGGAGTTGAAGATCACAGATCCTGCTGCTTATAAGAGAGATCCACCACCAAATGTCACTTTAACAGTGGTTACTGTTGAGGTTTGTACACACAGCTGCACGTTAGATTATACATTGTAGACTTTTGTACCGACCGCGCATTGTATAGAACTTCCCTATTAACAGAGTTTTGCTCAGGGTGGTGGGATGTAGCGTGCGCATACATGCAAATAAGCACTGCATTCCCTACCCATAAAACCCAACTTAATCTTACCTAAATAATCATACACTACCTCGATACGAATATTCATAGAGACTCAAGAACACGATTTGGTTAAACTAGTATAAGTGCCATCTATCAAAAATAGACAGAACTACTATAACGTTCTAGTTCTAGTATAACGCGCTACCGTCACCGATGCTGCACTTTTTACAGCTTATTTGCTATACAAACACTACAGGTCAAAAGTCGTGTTGTACCGAGAAGTTATTCGTATATATGTGTAAAATTCATGCCTGTGTTATAGTTTTGAAGGGCACTGCTTATCGCAATCTGATTGAATTAAAATGGCATCAAGGGACTATTTAATTTGGCCGGTGTATCGTTTAAACATCCATTTTTTTTCGATTACTTTTCTGAGCGCTAATGATTAAGTTTTAATTCATTAGTCAATCTATTTTACACAGTGATATATTTACTGTGAATTTTAAATGTGAGATGCTGTTTCTACTCTGTGCTGATGATAAATTAAATACGAATGCATTTACGTTGTCCTTTGAAGAAAAAATTAAAATAATAGCAAATTAAAGTTGCGCGTCCGGGACAGATTAAACTAGGATAAAGGTCACTCGTTCTTTAATCAAAAGTATTATAATAGTTTAATTGGCTAGCATTCAAAATATAATTTAACAACCATATTTCTTTAAGTTTATAAATTTTTGCGTGTCACCTGAATCTTGTAATTTTTACGACGATGTTTTACTGAAAGACAGGTTGATTTAATTTATAATCGGCCTACACATTTGGTCTCTAGAACGCCACATAGAAACAAACATACATACATAGACTGATAAACACATTACCCTCCTTTCCGTCGCGCAGTCGGGTAAAAATAAAGGGCTTGTTCAGATTCATACCGAATGTTTTTTCGACTGCTAACTGTTTATGTGAAAAATGTATAAAAAAATATATATTAACAGTTCAGTAGTTCTTTCTATTTCGATAACACGAAATTATTTTTCGGTAACTTATTTCGATGGTGATCAAAAAATATCAAATCATTATCATCCTGGCCAGCGGTCAACTCATGTGGTCAACTCATTAGATTAGAAGGTATTGAAACTATGCCGAAAATTGGTAAGTTTTTTTAATATAGGGGCTGTCCATTAATCACGTGAGACTCGAAAGGGGGGGGAGGGGTCCATAAAAAAGTCACGAAATATCACAAGGGGGGAGGGGGGGTTAAGTAACATATCACGTGTATTTATTTTTTCGACAAATGCGCGATACTAAGCCGAAAAGCGGCGTAAATAAGTGTAATAAAATTATTTTTTCGTCAAACGTCTACCTCTAGACATTATTGTACTCTTTAATTGTCTATAATACAATTAGAAAATTAAGGTTCATTGTAAGTACTAAAAATACACGTGATATATGGGGAGGGGGGGGGTAGTCTTAAACCTCACCATGTATCACTATGGGGGAGGGGAGGTTAAAAAATGCCAAAAAAAACATCACGTGATTAATGGACGGCCCCATAGGTTCTGAATACCCTACCGCAAATCTCTGTGCACGCCCCTGGCCTTGTGCACACATAGGATCCGAATTGAAGCATTATTTTTCCTATCATATGACAGGATTATCAACATTTATACTAAACACAAATTGGTGGAGTAGATGACGGATTAATTATACATTAATTCTAGTTTTTTTTTTCATTTTTAAACGTCCCAAATTGTCTCATATTTGCATTAAGATTAGACATTACAGAAATATAACAGAAGACAATGTCTTATTGCTTTTTTTGAAATTCTGAGTGCTTTACTTTAAAATCTGATTGCGTTTCTATAAAAGTCTGGTTGATTTTTTTAGGAGAAACCGTACGTGATGGTGAAGGAAGGTTGGAATTTACAAGGTAACGCTAGGTTCGAAGGGTTCTGCATAGATCTGTTGGGGAGGGTCGCCGCCAGAGCTGGCTTCCACTACAAGCTGAGGCTGGTGCCCGACAACATGTACGGAGCTAGAGATCCTGATACTGGACACTGGAACGGGATCGTGAGAGAACTCATGGATAGGGTGCGTAACATACAGAAATACTGCGACTCTCTCACAATCGCGAGCTTAACGCAAATACTAAATTAGATCGATCCACGCAAGATTTGAGAAATGGAGTTAATTTGTATTTTATTTTAAACGTTAATATTTTATTTTGATAATACCTGCAGAATGTCATCGATATATATAAAAGCGAGGTCACTCATTCACTCACTCATCACAAAATCTCAGAAACTACAAGTGCTAGCGGGTTCTTTTTAGGTTGTAGGTGCTCACCAAGACGGGATTTTATGAAATTCAACCCCTAAGAGCATTATAAATTAGAGGATGAAAGTTTGTATGGAATTTTCTGATTTCTAGACTCAAAACTAGATCACGCAGGCATAGCCGCTGACGGAAGGCTAGTTTTATATATAAATACTAGCTTCGCTCCGGTAATCCTGTAGAAAGGAAAGCGGCTTTGATTTACACTATGTAGTGATTATTGAGTGTTTTTGGGTTCGTCTATATGTAAGATGTGTCGCGTAATACTTCCTGTATTTAAAAAAAAATTGTTCCCGAAATCAAAATTAGATGTCGCTACGGTACTTTCTTGATTTCTCCGTGACAACCCTTCCGGTTTTCTTTCATGTATAAAAGTAAATTTATTTTCAAAACTCAATAAACGACTTATATTCTATTTGTACTTTTTCGTATTTGTATTGATAGCTTAGTTTCGAACTTAGCAAATGTCAGTTTTTTAATATCTTAGTTAAAAGGTACGGAAATGTCTATCTTTGGTCCATTCGTTTCCTGCAAAAATCAACGTTTGCTGGAGTCACCATCTAGTGAGGTGCTTTTTTACCGCTTTCTTTTTTTAAATACTTCATCATTGTCGGTTACGGAAATGAGAACTGACAAATATATGAACTGACAGATATATAAGCGTAACATAAGCGTCACCAAAGTATGGGACTTTGGTGAACCGCTAGACAAATTTTCATCAGATTCACACCAACGTATGTTGTCAGCAACGTGTCTCTGAAGCTTCTAGTTTGATTCCCGCAGACATCCAAACCAAGCAATTCATGCATAAAATAGTCACCATAGAGGTGAAAGCGATACCCCAAGCATGGGTGGATCTATGTTTAGTTTCATTTATTGGATACATGATATTGTTTATTTACAGAAAGCCGATATAGCCGTCGCTTCGATGACCATCAACTACGCTAGGGAAGCTGTCATAGATTTCACTAAGCCCTTTATGAATCTTGGGATCGGTATTTTGTTCAAGGTAATTTTATCATTCGCTTACTTTGGAACTTATATCTATGTAAGTTCCAAAGTAAGCTATTTTCTAGACTTAAAATGTATTCTATAGGTACTTTTCTACCAGTATTACATCAATATTTATATTATCAACTATTACGTACTTTATTTCTTTGTTCTGCTGTCTTCTTTAAAAATCCCACGCCTTAACACATTAAGGGCCGAATGCAATAATTGTTGTAGCTTGACGTGGTGCTGAGAGTATGTTTATAGACCTTTGATATTTCAGTCATGTTTTTTTTCATTAAAGATTTTTCGTGAACATATCACTACTTTTACTCAATCTCTCAGGTAATAAGCTTTTTTGTAAACTATGTATCATATTGAGTGCAATAAAGTATTTTATAATTATTATTATCACTACTGTTCTTCATTACTCTCATACCTTCATCGTTTTCTATAAAATTAACAAAAATATAAACTGACAAAAAAATGGCCACCCATTCGATGGCAGACCACTGCTAAGATCGCTGCACATTTTTGTTCGTCACTAGAAATGCCAGAGAAGTTCTAAAATGTTTTATTATCATATGTACAGGTTCCAACATCCCAACCGACGAGACTGTTCAGTTTCTTGAACCCGTTAGCTATAGAGATCTGGTTATACGTGTTGGCTGCGTATGTACTGGTCTCCTTCACGCTCTTCGTGATGGCTAGATTTTCACCATACGAATGGCAAGTATTACTGTTTTTTTTTCGTTAAATAAAAAATATTTAAGGTCGAGTGTAGTCAGTATATCCATTAATCTGAGTATTTTTTCCTCAGGTCAACCGGTACCCATGTATGTGGACACGAAACCAAACTCCTGACGAACCAGTTCAGTGTCTGCAATTCGTTCTGGTTCATCACCGGCACCTTCCTCAGACAAGGATCAGGATTAAATCCGAAGGTATTTCCGTCTTTCTTATAACTACGTATATTAAAAATAAATAATGTTTCCTCTCCTCCTTTTCCGCGCGAGCACTGCGCAGTGGTCTTACTGCTGAATAATCCGTTCCGTTATGGACTGCCAGTACACTGCTACAGTACCCTAGGGAAATTTATGACGTCATAAATTGCCGCCATATTTGTACTGTGAGCACTGAAGATTTCGAGGTAAGGTGCTCGCAGTGCTTTTGATCACGTGATCAGTCGAAACAGTTGTGAGTATTGTGCGCAATAGTTCAAACAATAGTTTATTCACTCGGAGTTACAAATGAATTAAGAATTTTATAATATTTTCTTTTGAAAAGAGGGAATCTTTATATTTACCTTGCATTAACAAATTTGAAAATGGCGTCAAAAAATAGGATTAACAGTAAACTGGATTGCGTTCCGTTTTAAAAAGTCACCAGTATAACTAGCTATAAAGGAACGGGCTTCCAGTATACTAAATTGACGTCATACTGTTCAGTGGTCGCAGTGTATATCGGAACATACCCCAAGTCTTCAATAATTTTTTTTCGATTTTGTTTGTTGATTTTCCTTAATATCGCGGTTAGAGAAATGGTCTTAACGGTACAAAGTCAAAGTGTGATTGTCCAGGCGACATCTACTCGGATCGTGGGTGGTATATGGTGGTTCTTCACGTTGATCATCTTATCATCATACACGGCCAACCTCGCTGCCTTCCTCACGGTCGAGAGGACAGTATTACCCATACAAAGCGCGGCAGATCTGGCGGCTCAGACAGCCATACAATACGGCACGCTCAACGGTGGATCCACTATGACGTTTTTTAGAGTGAGTAACAATAAACTCTATGTTACAGTGTAATTTATACTTTTATTCTGAAATAGTGAAGAATTATTTTATATTAACTATAGTTAAGAATAATTTGCGCAAACCAACTTCTCACGATGTCCACTCGAGAAAGTTTTGGTAACTTTCCCAAACTTTCAGCAAGATAACGAATCTTGCTGTTAAAAATTGCACTTAATAATCACAGCCATAAGTTGATTAGTTATTTGCCAGTGTAGATTTCGCGTAAAATAACCTTTATTTCAGGAGTCTATAGTTTACGTGTATCATAATTTTATTTTTTATTCGAATGTATCTAGTGCTTCCGTAGTGTATCTGTGGTTGTATTAATACTACCAATTTGTTTAAGAAAATTTTGTTTTGATCTTCCACACATTTATGATTCTTATGCTTTTTGACAGGACTCGAACATAGATATATATCAGAAGATGTGGCAGCACATGTCGACGGCTTCACCGCCTGCTCTAGTGTCATCGTACGAGGAGGGAGTGAGGAGGGTACTGTCAGGAAACTATGCTTTCCTCATGGAGTCCACCATGCTCGACCATAGAGTCCAGAGAGATTGCAATCTGACGCAGATAGGGGGTCTGTTGGACTCTAAGGTAAGGAATACACGTCTTCCTTTCATACCATGTAATCACTTAGACAGAAGTCGTAATAGCAAATGTAGTAGAGATCTATGGCTTTTGTGTATTCTGAAGTATGGAGGGGGTCAAGATAGTAAATTTTTGGTTGTTCAGCTCACGACAGACTTCAGTGGTATCTTAGTGGAAATTGCTTAACGTCCACAATTCCAGACTGTAAATGTTAAAAAATGAATGATCGAGAAGAGACGCCTCTATATCATACGAGATGAATACGTGGTTCGTATTTTTGGGGAAGCGATTAGGTATACGTTCTATTAGAAGGTCACTTATCCTAAATATCAGGGTCCAGTAAATCTACAATCAAATGCTCAAATAGGCAAACTGCTAAGGTAAGAAAGAGTACACATAATATACTCACTATTATTATTCAAGACGCTTTGGTATCATAGGAGAAGTTGACTATACTGAAAAGTAAAGATTATTAACATTAGTCAAGTAAGAGGTCACGGTCGCATAAAGATTATTGACGCAATTTAACAGAGGTTAGCCTTTGGAGTTCTTATTTGCGATTTAGCGAGTTCCGATCTAAGAGCCTGTTGGACGTAGTGCTGAGTGAAGAATTTCATATAACATTTAAAACTTTTGTTGGTCCCAGTGAGTAATTTCAAGAAACCAAAAATTTACAGTGGTTTTGGTGCAATTACAATTCTATAAGTAATGTTATTTTTCCTTGGTCTTCTTATTCACTTTAAAAGCATTATTCATTTTTGCGTTTTATATAACGTCAGATGTATTAAAAGTTTTACTTATATGACTATTTAAGAAACAGGAATTTTTCAATATTAGTATTTTAAATCTTGGATTGACCTGTCTATAATATGGTCAAGGTTCTTAAAATAATGAGATCTTTAGTTTTATTGTAAAAAATATTAAAATCGATTATTTTTCAGGGTTACGGCATAGCAACATGGAAAGGTAGTCCGTGGCGAGACAAGATATCGTTAGCTATTCTAGAGTTGCAAGAGAAGGGGGTGATCCAGATATTATATGACAAATGGTGGAAGAACACTGGTGATGTCTGCAATAGAGACGGGAAGGACAGTAAAGCCAATCCCCTGGGTGTTCAAAATATAGGTTAGTCCAAACTCGACCAAAGAAAGCTTTCTGGTGGTCAAAATATTTCCCCATAAATTTTTGCTTATTATTTGGGGTTTCCAATTCCAGAGGAAGCAAACCTCTAGAAGAACTCACATCCGTTATCTAAAAATTGGCACAGTAGGAGCTGACTCTGCCTCTGATGCACAGATACACTTCACAGACATGATTTTAACCAAATTATAAAAATGATTCGATATTTTCTGAATTTTCCTTCAGAAAAAATAGAATAGGTGTCTGGTGTCATGTTAATTCGTATAATCCCCGCAAATTGCTAATCCACTTGGCCGCTACTTTGATGACGCAATTGCGTTCAAAAATCGGTACTGTCAACAAATGAACACTGGTTGACGAGTACAATTATTGAATTGGGTTGTATTGAGATCACACACATAATTTTTGTTATGTTTTTGTTGCTTTCGGTAGTTATTGTTAAGTTTTGTTGTTATTTGTTATGGGTGAAAATAACAATTGCTATGATTCTCACAATAAGTAAACATACTTTATCAATGACTCTCATTTCATTATTAGTTATGATTATGTTTAAAATAAATGGCCTTTCTAAAATTTATTAAATTATTATAACAATATTTTGGGGATTATTCATAAATATTTCAATAGTTGATAAATTATTTATCTCTTGCCTTTTGTGCTATCTATACTTTCTATTTTCATATCTATTTAGACGAGGTTCCAGCGCGAGCAATTTATGGGACTTATCCGAGTTATACGCACCTATGAACTTTAGCATTCAAGGATCGACGTATTCTTCAAGAAATATTCACATCAGCAAATTATCGATTAACATTTGCCTGTGATGAGAGGTATGTGTTATCTTAGCAACATGTTTTTATTTCAGGCGGTGTCTTCGTCACTCTGCTATGTGGATTGGCATTAGCTATTATGGTAGCTATCTTAGAGTTTTGTTGGAATACCAGGAAGAATGCTTCTCAAGGACGACAGTCGCTGTGCAGCGAGATGGGACAGGTCGGTGCTTATTCAATGAGAAATTATTTAAAAAAGATTTGATCCCGAAATCACACTAGAGGTCGCTACGGTACTTTCTTGATTTCATGACAAACCTTCCAGTTTTCTTTCATGTATAAAAGTTAATTAATTTTCAAAACTCAATAAACAACTCATGTTCTATTTTTAATTTTTCGTGTTTGTATAGTTATCTAAGTATCGAACTTTGAAAATGACAGCTTTTTAAAATGTTAGTTAAAAGGAACGGAAATGACTGTCTTTGGTCCATTCGTTTCCTGCAAAATCAGTTTTAGGTAGAATCGCCATCTAGAGAGGTGCTTTTTAGTGCTTTCTTTTTTTCTTAAATACTTCCTTATTATAATATAGATAGTTTTTTTCCTGGAACTGTAATATATACTAAAATAAATTTCGTATGCTACCTAAATGATTTTACTAAGTCTTTTTGCTCGCTTGCCTTTATATCATTTATTAATATGAAAATATCTGTTGTTGAAATGGTCTGTTAATAAAATGTGGAAATGCCCTAGTTTTGTGTACAAGCCCTAAAGTTCGTGTTGTTGCCGCATACCGCGCTAAGGATGTAACAAAATGTTTGGGTATAACACTAGATTTAAAACTGCAATGGATCCGCACATTTCTATATCGACTGCATATGCCATACGAAAAATAAGACAAATGAATTTCTTGCCGGTTCTTCTCAGTACAAGGTCTCCCATCGTAGATTTGCGAACCGATGGCAAAGTTTCCGATTTTCACAAATGCTTGTAACACCTAGACTGAAGAAACGATAATGAATTTGAATTTATGACCAGACCAATTATTGTCGTATTACAACTACAGGTAAAAATATTTCATAAATTAAGCAGATAATTCTAAAAAATAAATAAGAAATTGAATGAAGTAAGAACTGTTTATAGTTAGAATACTGTTATTCTAGTTATCTCAAATGATTACTTAAAGTTTTCCAATAGAAATACTACAATAATTAATTTCAAAATCATGGGGCACGAATTTATTACCTTACGCAGTCTAAGTGACTGTTCTACTAGAGTTCTTGTTAAGATAATCATACCCAAATAACCAAAAATAAACTTAAGCAGATAAAATATTTTGTTCTGATTAGTGTACTTGATAAATATTTGCATGAAAAAAGTTGATTTTGTCTAGGTGACAAAATGTATATACCGTCACAGAGGCTCCATGTATATTCAAGCAACTGTTACTGCATAGCAATACATAACAAAGTTACCATTTAACAAATTTAAGAAAGTAGTAAATTAATTTATTATTGGATAAAATGTATTATAATCAGTGGTCGGAATTAGGTAGAGTTATTAATGTACTTACACTGATTTCATACAGTGAAAGAATGAAGTGGATATGCCTCAAACCCCGAGATTAATTTTAAAGAGCAGAAAAAATCCAGTGATTTTTTAAATAAAAAGTTATTTACTTTTACTCAATTTAAACTACTGCACGCACGACGTTGCCAAACTTACATCAATGAAAGAAAGAAATAAAGAAAGAAGAAATAAAGAAATCCCGGGAAGGTCCACATTAATATCAACATTTCGATGCAAGTACATAAATAACTCTACCTAATTGCGACCTCTGATTATAATGTTATTACCACTTCATAAATGATAAATTTTGGTATTATTTCGAATAATTTGACATTGCATGTAAGATTAATGATATTGTTATTAATTTCAAGTTTATCCGACATTAAGAAATTTTGAATTAGATTGTTATAGGTCTTCAAATATTTGTATGCTGACCAAGTCCGCAGAATGTGTGTGCTTTCCTTGAAAAATAACATCATATCTGTGACCACTTTCTTGCAAATAAACATCTTTCATTCCAGGAGTTACGTACGGCGATGAGAGGCGGCTCGTCCACCCGCACGGTGCTCAGGGCGGGCTGCTCCAGGTGCTCGCCGGCCACACACGTACCACCCGCGCCCAACAGATACGAGGTCAGATACTTATACTGAAATAGAGGTACTGGTATTTGGATGGAAAAAATATTTGGGGTCACAATACTGTACTTTTGCCTGAAAATTGATAAAAAAAACTAATAATCGTAAGTCCTGTTGGGTCTCGGATAGCTCAGTGGTTAGAGCAGACGTCCGGATTGCGATAGGTTGTCAGTATTCCAATCCCATCTCGGGATACAAAAAGCTGGTGATTTTTTTAAGTATTTCTCTTTAAAACAAAGTATTGATAAAATTAGATTAGGGACTAGTATTGTATAAATGTACACAGTTAACTGTTTTCGCATTTTAAAACAAATAAATAACCACCAAACTTTACAGTAGATGTCCAAACTTGAGTGAAAATGGAGAGGCATATAGTTATAGAGAAAAACAGCGCGAAAATTTACCGTGATATATATTATAACAGCGTGTCCTAACATTTTCTGCTTCAATAACCCCTAAGTCAAAAGCAATGTGATTCTCTTTTTGTAATTAAGCCAGTGATATTGCGTTCGATTTGTGATGTGGAACTTAAGCAAGTTTAGCGAGGACCAATCGTAATATGGGTGACCAAAAATTTATCACCTTGAGCTTCGGAAGTCACGTTAAATCGTTGGTACTGACTGCATCCGTACTGGGCTCTAGTTTGGTCTGGTCGGTATGCTTACATTGCCGAACGATCGATATTGCAATTGCGACAATTGACACTGAGTTACTGAGTCTATGTTTCAAGAGTACAATCTAAGATTTGATCAAAACTCAAATCATCATTGGATTGAATTGAATTGCTATCAGAAGTAAGCCCGATGCAGGGCGATTCTGCAAAAACCCAAACCCAAATTCGAATTCACGTCATTTATTGCAGAAATTCTATTGATTCCTTCTTTTTTTGTAAAAATACAACACAAAATTGATCAATCATACGTATCTCAGATATTCTATACTTATGTTATTTCGAAACTCATTTCACTTATGCCACAAATCTTTTTGCCAATTCGAGATTGAGCGGATGCCGTTTTTTGAAGTGAATCCGAACATTCGAATGAATTAGAATTCGGGTTTAATTTTTCACAGAATCGCAGGGCTGGTCACCCTATTCGGCTCGATTTGATTTCATCTACATGCAAGGCTTATGCCTTTGCAGTAAGAACATTGATTTATGTAATTTTATTGGCACTCATTCGTCGTGCTACTAATAAGCGGACCTCCAGGGGTCCGCGGATCACAGGTTGAGAAACGCTGCCTTGTAATGTATAATATTCTAATCAGTTTTCATTTATATTGATCACTATAAAAGCTCGTTTGAGTGTATGCAAAATCATTTATTTTTCGATTTCATCTAAAGTACAGTAAACAATGTTTAGTTAGGTTAGGTTGGGTTAGCTCTGGTTTAAGGCTGAATGTGCATTATTACCTTTGCGTCATAAAAAAAGGTTATGTTGGGTTAGAACTTCGAACAGTGCGTAGTTACGTGTAATGTAGACTCCAACCAAACGTGTTCGTGAGTATTGCGTGTTCATTTATAAACAAAAAAGTATCACACAATTCTCGGAACTGCAGTATTGTGCACACCGCTGTAACCTACTCCTTATATATTAAAGTTGTAAAATAAAGTAGAGAAAATCAACCTTTTTCTATAACCGGACGTGCTGTTGTACATTTTATTTGAATTTTTTTAATAAGACATTATGATTTTATTAATATTTTTTACCATTTTATTGACATATTGTTGTGTTTTTTCTTATTATTTTCTTTATATCAAAGGCCACCTGGAATCCAGATAATTTTAGCATGATAGAAACTCGAATCGACCAAGATTTCGGAGTCTTAGAAGAGGTTAGTGTTGGGTTATAGTAGGTAAAGATATTAATTAAATGCACCTATTCTTAATATTATCTTATATTTGAGCCAAATACATTTTCCACCTAATCCATTTAGTACTAGTAGATGGTCAGACTACACGCCGCTAGATTTTATAGCAACCTTATTTACAAACGAATAGGACCGAAATTAGTTCGTGCAATTTGATGTAATACTTCAAGCACTTATTATTCCCTTATATTAGATAGATAATTCATTTATTTGCATTATAAATCAGCAAACATGCATTATAAATTCTTTACAAAAAAAAAAAAAAACACTTCATCTTGTGCGCCACAGCAACGCAAAAAGGGTAAAAGCTCAGCGATTCTTTGCTCAGGGAGCAGAGCGCTGATTTTTTGTCTTTACCCAGAATACTAGCTACTTGTTTCAAGAGTTTTTTTTATTTAAAACAACAAGTGCAACAACGAATATATTTTAAACTAACCAGCTGTTTTCCCACGACTTCGTGTGAATTATAGCCTATTTAAATCCCATATGATGTATCTACCTTTTTCTATTTGACGCTGAGAAATGCGATACGCATACTCGTTTCACTTAGCGCGGGCTCCACGGGTTATGTAAGACTCCTCCTGTGTGGAAGGCGATGCACGGGATCGGCCCGAAGGCCACACACCGCGCGGTTGATGTAGCTACATTTATTTATTTTTTGACGGTGAGGAAAGCGTTACGCATACCCGCTTCACCCTGCGCGGGCTCCACGGGTGATGTGGGACTCCTCCTGTGGCCCACACCCTCGAAGGAGCTAGACAAGAAACAGGAGTTTACCCATTAAAACTCAGCGATGTCCCTCGCATGGAAGGCAATGCGCGGGATCGGCCCGAAGGCCATACACCGCGCCGTTCGCCCCCATTTCGGCCCACCCTGAAAAGGGCAGGTCCCACAGCGGGAACCGGCCAGCTGCCCCTGACTAGAGACCAGAGATGCGCAATTGTGCAATCTCCGGTCCCCTACCCATCGTGTTGGGAGGCTCCACACAGGCAGAGCCCTTATCGTGGGTCCCCCCCCCCGTAGGTCCACAGAAGACCGACCTCATCACGCCCTGTATCAGCTCCGAGGAGCAGACAGAGCGCGTCCAGCCGGTCAACGGGTCGTATCCCCTCTCGTCGAGGTCTCGAGGTCCCGTTGATGTAGCTACCTTGGGTGAAGGAATTTTAAAAAATTGGTCCGATGGTTCCGGAATCTATTCGGTGCAAAAAATAAACATACAAACAAACAATAAAGTTTCTTCTTGAATCACTGTCATTGCAGAAAACCGCATTAAAATCCATTGTGTATTTCAAAGATCTCAGATTACAGATCCTCACATGAAATATAAATCAACGTAACAACTTTATACTTTTGATCTGTTGCAATAAATAATTAAAATTAAATAATTAAGTAGCAATTTAAAAATGCACTCCAGTATAAAGTTATCCAGTAGGCCACGTTCTGCGCTCCCGCCGAAACCACGTGCTATATTCTCTATACGTACTATTTGTTGATGACTAATATCCTAACAGTTGAGACTGCACTTAGTATAAGAGAAAATTCATATTATTAAACAGAGACTTGGTAAAGATGTACCTAGTACGAGGTTCTATTTGAGTAAAATTTACTCCTAGAAGGATGTAGGTTGCTTAATATCTGTAAGTATAGTATGAATTTGGACCAATACTAAAATTGCAATTTTAGTGTATATTTACCTTGCTTATTAATAGCATGGTTAGAGTCTAAATTCAGTACTTACCTAAGTATTATATATTTTTTCTTTTTTTTTAATCGTATATTGTTAGATTTACGGTATTTTTTTAAATAAAAATGTGTTGTCAACTGATATATCTAAATTGTTCAGACTAATATCAATGAAGTATATAGGGTTATAGGCAATTAGACCGGATCCTCTTAAAGGGTCGTAGGGGCTGTCATTTACAATAATTTTCACCCCACATAGTATATCCGAAAGTTATTTTTTTTAAATGCAATTTTGGTTGGCGAGTGCAGGTGCAGGACGCCGGCCACAGCGCCGTGGAGCTGCGGGAGCTGCGCTGGTCGTAGCGCGGCGCGCGGCGGGGCCCGGCCTCCGCGCCCGCCTCGCCCGCGCGCTGCACGCACCACTCCTTCGGACGGTGCCCACATTACAGTCAGTATTTTTACTAGCTTTTTCTATATAAACTTCACCCTTCGAGAGTTGAGTTTCTAAATATACTGTGACGGTGCGTTGTATCACCGTATATTTCGTTCTAGGTTTCCACATGCAAACTTTTTGTCTTTGATCTTCAACATTATATATTTTTATTATTCACTTTTCGTAATTTGACATTTTGAATAATCGAAAAGTAAAAAATTTTGAGTAAAAAGTTCAATAGCCATTTGTTGTAGAGTGTTAAAATTAATTTATTATTAGCTGTTTCTATTATGGTCATAATAATAAAGTTAAAATACTCACTAAATCCGAAGAAAAGGGTTTCTTTTTTGTTACCATTAATTAAATCGAGTTCTCGAGCTTAGTCAGCCCTTTATTCATTTGACTAAGCATCGAACTTGTCACAATACTTTCTTAGTGCTCACTTACACCACACTATATACGATGTGTCGTAACCTCGAGTAAAATTAACTAAAAAAAATTTTCACTTATTATAAATCATCGAGACAGTAAATTTCAAGTTATCACAAATAAGTAATTCGAGGAACAAGAGGTGATATGTAGCGATTTTGTATTGGAATATACCTTCAACTAGAGATAATTAACGTAAATATTCGACTATCCTAATTTTTTTAATTGACTTAATATCACAAATGCCGTATATCGGTTTAAAAATTGCACTAATAACAGTAAACAGTAATAAAGACCAATATCCAAAAACTAAAAAAAAATGTAATCAATATATTTAAAAAAAAAGTGAAATAATAGTTATCTCAAAAGCGGTTTAATTTTTAAAGAAATATTGAAGTCGGGCTGATGTAAAGAAGGTTCCATTTTTAAAAGTTTTTAAGTGTTTAATTACTGAATTTTAGTGATATTTTGAGTTTTGGGGTAAGAAACATCATGCATACTTAATGCAAATTTAAGACTTATATGGTTTTCTCATAGATGCCATTGCCAAATTGCCAAAAGAATCATCAAAATTGGTCTACCCAGTAAAAAGTTATTAGGTAACAAAGAAAAAATATAATCAAATTGAGAACCTTCTCTTTTTTATTGAAGTTGATTAAACATTGTGGGGCATTGTTTTTAACAAATCAACACCGTAATGCAAAAAAGGAAACTAAAAATATATATACCAGCCATCCCGGGAATACATGAGATTAATCAATTTAATAGAAAAATGCGATTTCTTGTTCAATTTAATTACAATATGAGTAACTGTGATATTTGATTCCCTTTTCAGATAGAGTTTATTGTCATATTTTAATAATAATTTGTTCACAGATTCCGTCGGTTCTCTGAGGAGGACCACATCTTATGTCTTGAAGGAGCCGAGGGAGCATCAAACCAAGAAGCATGTACAGATCGTAGCGTAGCATAGGTTATGTTTGTACGTTAATATCTGTAATCTTTAATGTATTATTTTACACTGGAAAATTTGAAAGATTGAGGTGTGAAAATCGTGATTTATTAAGATTTGCACATGTAATCTTCGAATATCTACGTTGCTCAACGGCTTGCACGCCGGTTTCAAAGTGTCACCATCTCTAAGGGTTTGATTCTCGGTTAGATTAATGTAGAAAATGACTTTTTTTTAATTTTCTTACAGGCAGCAGTCTCGACAGAGTTTGCGATCGCAATCTCACCGAATTCGGTCGCTAACTCATAGCGATCGTAAGTTAACGATTATTGCAAGTCGCTACAATTAGGTATATTGTTATTTATCAGGCACGCACCGAGTGCAACTGTCAAATAAGCGACATTCGTTAGTATCCTAGCGATCGAGTTTAAAGCTCGGTCAGTGAACTCTGCGATCGCTACGTGACGATCGCTACCTATGTCGAGACTGCGTGCCCTGGTCAAGATTTATATTTGGAGCTGAGCAATGTATGTGATCTTATTTTGTACTTAATTACATTCAAAATAATCTATAGTGTCCTAATGTGCTAAGGTCCTATTTCTACAATAATACACACTATTTTAAATTATACTTTTAGATTTTTTTTAAACGAATTTTCGTAAAAAGGACTTTTTTCTGTTACATAACATTAGAATTGAACTGGTCAAGTATTATTATATAATGTATTATGAAAAAGTATATTTTGCAATAATTTGCTAAGATTTAATAAGTGTAGCCAATTAATTTAAATAATAAACAACATCGATAATATTAAATAAACATCGTATTTAAGACATTTTGGCGTAACAATGCAAGATATTCTTCCCATCTAATCCAATATCTAGTATGAAATCCAAAGCGGAAAAATATCGTTGTAGAGCCTTAACATCGATGAAGTCGTAAATAAATATCTAGATTATCAGTGCAACTACCCACAAAAATTCAATAAACAATCAACAATTTTACTTCTGCGTTTTTAAGGTCGAATGCTCATTCAACGTGATATAATAGTATTTATGTATTGATTTTATGTTTGATTACATAAAAAAATAAATAGCATTTTGGGGTGCTTTCAGTTGAGTAAAACTATAAATGATTGCGTTTCGGTAGGAGGTGAAACTTGACGCCCATGTTCAAAGACCAAGAGTATTTTTTAAGGTACTGCACTTTTTAAGTTTAAATAATTTGGGCAAATAGCAAAATACAAGCGCCTAGGAAGTTGCCTAGATAGCCTATATGGAAGGCCTGACACTGAGAACGGCTGTTAATATATTGTTACGACTTAAAGTTCGGGATGAAATATCGCCAATTTAATTCACAATCCGACTTTATTTACATAGTCAAATCACAATAATAAACCTTACAACAAAATACATATTTCGACTTCACTAATTTACGTCATACGTGTTGCTTCACAACACTACTTGAATGTCCGGATAGGTACGGAGCGGGAAGCCCGCCGCGTATTTATAGGGGCCGTCACTACATCTAGAATGTTCTAAGCTAGGACCTAGAACATTCTAGATTGGCCTCGGCCCTACCGGTGAATTAGTGGCATTACCAAGAAGTTCTAGAGCGGCCCGGTCCTTTCTTCCCCAGTGATCGTCCCTCTCTCACTAACGTATACCTATATGACACACGTAGGTGTTAGCGCGACTATATATATATATATATATATATAGTTATAAATGACACGTAATGCCATCTAGTAATAGGTCGATAAAACATCGCGCAACTGCGCTCCGTAACAATATTATAACATTTGCGATACTTCGAAGCGCTGCTGTCTAGCGATTAAAATACGTATAATCTGAAACCGCTTTTATTGCTACACCGGCTCCACACTGTCGCTGATGATGGGCGAATACAGGCCAACACTATTGTGAAGACGGCATGTTCGCCTATATTGGCCCATGATCATCTATGTTTGCCACTGTGTCGGTTTTTCGGACAATCATCAAAGGAAGTTTGGACATGATGGCATCCACATAATCGCCGATCACTCAGTTCGTATTTATTTATGATACGGTGCGGACGCGTGCTGTTTTGCCTGTAATCCATGCTAATATATCGTAGCAGAATAATCCCTTAATTAACTATTTATGTTTATAGAATTATACCTAGCAGACTCTCCACAAGAACAATTTGGATTCTTGATTCGGCGTCCATATAGTTCAGTTGGTACTTAAGAAATGTGGGATGGGCAGTCGTGTGGACAGCGGCGCAATGATGTTGACAATCATGGTGGCACTCAGTGTTCGCCAATCATGGGCCACAGTGCGGACCGGCGATTACGCATAGATATGCTACTAGAGCAGCGGTTCTCAACAGGTGGTCGGCGAACCCTGGAAGCATCCCAAGTAGTCCACGGCGCATGATCAAATTTATTGCCATATAAAAATAATTATGTTACTTATTTATAGATACATAGAACACGTATTCAAATTTTATTCATCTAGATTTAAATATAGCATATTAAATCAAATGGAACCATGAGTTCGTGGCTTTTTATTTCTTACCTTTCCCCCTCCGGGGGTGGTCTGCAATAGAAGATGTGTAACGTTTTTAACTAACCGTATTCACGACGAAAAATGATGTTTTTCACACAGTTATTTAGACTACCATTACATGATAAGGTATTAAACAAATAAAATTGTGTTCGGGTAATGTAAATATATTTATAGATTAGTTAATAAGAATTTATTTAGTTTTATTAAGGAAAATAATGTTGGTACTAAATATTGTAATCTAAAAGTTTATTGAACAAATCTTTATTTGTACTTTATATTTTGAATAATCATATACTTAATTAAGTTTACGAGTATTATGATATAGTCGTAAAAAAGTGTATATAGTTTAAATATCTAAAGGCTATACTGGTATGAACTCAATTTGGCTTGATTAAATTATGTTGTTTACTAGGAATACTGGTATAAACACACGCAATGACGAATTTTTGTGACACAGTTTTGGGTACGATGTGCATGCCCTCCACTCTAATATAGTTGTGACGTCACATTTTCACGATCTACTGTGGTCTATCCTGTTCACGGTGTTATATAATTTGGTCTCCTTTTCGCATTCTGATTCGCATTTGGCCTGTGATCATAATCTTCAAGATACAGATATGCAAAATGTAACAGTATTAGTTTAGTTTATTTAGTTTATAAGTACTTGCGAAAAAAATGGATAAATGAAGAATTAAAGCGGACTTACAAAAGTCGAAAAATAATTTATACAAAAATATTGATAAATGCGGCTATCGAAATACTAGAAAACTGGAAATTTGTTTTGAATTTATAACTTAAGTAACTTGAAAGTTTCAAAATGTTATTAAAAATTATAACATTATCAGTGTTTATTAACAGAGATTTACGTTCAGCGCACGTTGACCCCCTTATAATTTTTTATTTATGTTGAACCCTGGGAAATCGGATCCAACCCAAGAGGTCTATGTCGATAATTTTGGGAATCCCTGGGTTAGATAATGGTTTATTGCTCGAATGAGAGATTCAAAAATTATAGTTTTCATTAATTAGGTAACACTCGACCATTCCATTTTAAGATACTCGTATGTAACGTCATTATGTTGGATTTACTTTTAAAATGCCAGTGTCGAGGTCAGGCGCTAGATTATCTGGTCTCCCCACGGGGTACTTTAATATATTAATAAATGCTCTTGCACATTTTGTCACGAGCTCTCCGTCTAAAATAACAAAGACAAATGTATTTATTATCTTTGTAAATATAACAAAAATGGGTGATATTGTATTAGATATGAAAGTGTTAGGTACTAAGATTTGCTTGTCTTTTTAAATACTACAATAATTTCTATATAATATTTGTGTGTGTGTGAGTTGAAATATGTGAATTTTTATGTATTTATCTAAATATATGATAGGGAAAAGCTAGGAAAATGTATAAGTTATTAGTGTTCTTTAAGTTTTGAAAGAAACAAAACAATAATATTTTTTTAATGAATGTTTGTTTCATAATTCAGTTTTAATATTTATCTTAAAAATATCTGAAAAATAACAGCTACGGCATAGGTGACATAGATTATAAGTTACGCAGAAGTCGCGGGCTTCAAGATTTTATTGCACTTTAGACAATTAAAAGTTTATATTTTATTTGTAAACGAAAAGATTAAGCTACTGACTTATCTTGATTGTTTACATTCGAGCGGTAATTTTTGACAGTTTTGACAAACATTTAATATGTAGCTAATAGGGATGATGACTAATTTTTGTTTGTTTGTCCGTCAGGTAGAGTGTTAAAAAATATTAAACACGTATTTTTTTATTTTTTTCGTAATCATAAAATGACGGCGTTACATTGAGTTGAAATTTCGCATTACATCACGTTAGAGTACGTTTTCTACTCAACTGTGACGTAGCGAGCCCCCACTCCTCAACTTTAATGCCTGTTATCTAAGCTATTTCTTGTTAAATTGAAGTAAAAAAAAATACGTATCTAATATTTTTCTATTATCTGACTGATGGACAAAATAGAATTGCATTTTTTTTACCTAGTCATCATCCCTATTATCCAATGTCAAACATTGTTATTTAACTTATTAGCTATATAGTCCTGCGAGTTTACTTGTGTTTTAAAAATAGCCCTGTATACGTTAAGTGGGCACAAGAATTGTAGTATCTGTTGTGTTTGCCATTTTGGCGGTAATGTAAAAAAAAATATCGGAATTTAGGTTTTACGAATCTATTTGAATATTAATGATATAATATTAAAAAGTTTTTGTTGTTGTTTTTTATGAAAATGAATTACGATGTTTGAATTGAAAGTTGTTACGATTTTTGTTTAAAAATAAATTTTATTACTATGTATAAATGAATTATGGGTGTTTGTGTGACACGGACTGTTTTTGCACTTATATTATAAGAATCTAATAATAAAGTCTATATTATGTATTATATATATTTTTAGAAAAAAAAATCCAAGTAATTAGAGTGTAATTGTTGATG